CCCCCCCCCTAAAATTTTGGCTGGATCCGCCCTTGAGAGCGATTTTCTACAATTTCATGCATACTTCTTTCGATTCCGATTCGGTAGACTTGCCGCAAGTCGACCTCTCTTGTCTCCCTGGGAGGTCCTTACGAAGTGATAAACACAGGAAGCCCACGCCACGCCTTCAGATAAAACAAACATTTGCCAGGTCATCGCTAAATACATACACGAAAATCTTTCTTCTTTCTAAAAGCGACAATAATATTGAAGTGGTGGGATATTTGGCGAAAATTTCCTTAGATGAGGTATATAYTTTTATTTAATAAGAATACTAGTTGTAAAAGACAACGTTTCGCTATTTTTATGTTAGAGTTTTAATTTCGAGACGAAAGGCTGTTACCAGGAATAAACATATATCGAGCCACGTAATAAAAATGTCTCCTGATATGATTGATTGCTTGATTAATATAAATGATTAAATTGAAATGATTAAATTGAATCATGGTGCTACTTGGTGCTATTTTTCCATTCATTTTATCGTCCGTGGAATTGTTTTTGGAAGGGAACTTCATTATATTTTYACTCAGGAGTTCAAATTTGAGAGAGGGGAAGGGAGGGGAGGGGATGGTGATCCAAAAAAAAGTTTATAAATTTTTCACTCACCCAACTGCTTCTTCTATAACAAATTATTCCTACAGGAAAAAGAAATGCCATCTTCGATCTGTCCCCTCTCTTACCCCGTAAGAGCGAGAGAGAATTTTTGCACCTGTCAATAACCTCCCGACCCCTCGTCCCCCTTTTGTAAACGAATATATATTCGCCCCATTCCTTTATCGCGTCCCAACAGATTTATTATTCGATATTGCAACAAATGGTGTTAGGAATCGTTCCGAGCTCTTGAACTTAAACCAAAGATAAGCTTGTCGAATCCTGATCGTGATTTCCAGCAAACTTACTTCGACATTTTATGGAGAAGTCAATACTTGAAAGTAATGACGTCAAAGCCAGAATCGAAAGTGATCCAGCCACGTTAGAAGGTAGAGGTGACTTTTACATTCATTTATTTACGAATTTACCATAATCTTTATTAAGGATGCAATTTACTATATTATCCAACTTATTAATTCTATCCCTTGAAGTAAGACGACCTTCGTAAAAATAACTTTTTCCACAATTCAAAAACAGTCCTGTATTACCTATGTAACCGGCGGCAAGGCGCTCAGCTATGAATCAGATTGCAAGTGGTTTTGACAAAAGAACAGTCCTGTATTACCTAAATTGATATTCTAGCGAAATATATCGTATCGAATTTACTATAACAAGACAACAATATATTTTGAATACAAATTACGATAACTATAATGTAAATGAGTAAAAACTTTCAGAAAATTACCGTAATGACCTCTGAATTTTATAAAGAATTTACGATAGAGAAAACCGCTTTGGTCCATGAAATAATCACACAGAATTAATTATTGATTATTTTCCAAAGTTGAATTTATTTATAATACAACATAAACACCTTGTCTAGCCGTGAGCTCGTAGCCCTACAGGATTTATATTGTTATATTAAAAGATAGGGTAATTTAATCTCCTTGGTCTAGACATAGTTAATACTTACTATGGTCTAGATATTGTTGACTTATATATATTATATATTATATATTATATATACTATTATATATTTTTATCTGTGATATATATATGCATTAATAAGATAAATGTATCATTATGTCTTCTGTGTGTAGCGGAGGGGAGGGTACGTAGGTGCTAATTGCGATAAAGAGGATGTCTAAATATTGTATATTCTGACACTGTCTTCATGAAATATCTGAAAGAGCGGAAGGTCCTAGAGAGGTCTATACATACAAATATACTGACTGATAGCCTGCGTATCTGGCTGCCAGCTACGCAGGCTAACTGACTTACTGATGGACAGATGGACAAATGGACAGCATGGACAGACAGACAGATGGACAGATGGACAGATAGAAGGATGAAGGAGAAGAATAATAATTTTCTTAATTTTTGTTTAACCATGCAAAGAGACAGGATCAGTACGTGTTGCCTCAGATGTGTCAACTGGAACACCCTCCATTTACAGTGTACCAGAAGAATCCAAAATAACTGAACACTTCATACCTGACAATGAAATAACAGCTGAGATTATTGACGTAGAGAGAATGCCAAGAACACATCCATTTAATCCCAACTTGTAAGTCAATCAAAGAATCACATTTAATTTTCACATACAAGCAAAGCATTTGACTTTATGTTAAACTGCCATGTTTCCTGATAGACAGGCATCATAAGATCATACTTAATAGAGGGGAATGGTTAGGAAACCCTTTTGTTATAAGTCTTTGTTCACTTTTTTCAAGGGTGACYGTGCACAATCCTTTGTTTTACCATTGTTGGCAATGGCTGAGTGAATAGACCAAAATCTTTCTTTTGGTTGTTAGTTCAAAATACTTAAAGATTTATAAGAGATATTTGAATATTCCTTACAATAATCCCATAGACAAAGTACATGTTTACTTATTTTGCAATTTCGGATGAGCTTAAATCAAACATTGTGCACGGGGTCACGGTCAAGACCGGTTCAACATCAAAAGCGAACAAAGACCTGATAACAATAGGTTTCCTAACCATTCCGATCCCTCTATTAATTATGATAAAATGAAATACTGCCTCGTTACATAGACCTGTTAGTTCTATAGCATGTCAGAATCTAGTTCAATTTCGAGGACAATTAACAATAGGTTTCCAATACTCATGAGATTGAAATTCTTTTATTTTGTGCTTGAAATTGGGCTGCTTTGACGTCATACACAAGGGGCCTATATGCAGATGCTGGGGTTCCTTTTGAAATGATTGTTTGTTTTGAGGGGGAAGGGGGTAGGGTGATGCAACTTTTAAGTTGAAATAGAGTTTCTCCAGTACCAGTAGTTCATATCACCAATACACCTTTTTAGTTTGGGCATAATATTTTGGCATTTCATGTCCTTCTCTTGGGAATACAGTTCTTTGTACATCAGTTATCCATATCTGCTATTAAACAAAGAATTGATACTCAAGGGAATGATACATGGTCTAAAATGGGCAAACATAATAATATGCCCAATCAATAGAGGTCTATTTACAGCCTGTTAGTGATTGGCTCCAGTGTGGGGTGAATAACAAAACTGTCAAATTATAAAAAGCTAAGGATTTATATGGCTTCCTCTTTATATATTTTTTCATATTCTATATTCCTTGTTTTTTATAACTCCGAGGATGGAGGGGTGCTGGTGGTTGTATGTGTGTGTTACTCCCTCCCCTCCCCTCCCCTCCCAACACAAACACACACACTCCTCCCAACCTTCCTTTGCAGGGTCTAAAATATGTGTGAATAACTTATAGCATCTTTAATAAAATTAGACAAAGAGTTGTGTTACTGGGTGAACCCCCTCAAAATCCTAGATCCACCTCTGTATGCCACCTTCTTCCTTCTCCAAAAGTCTTTAAAATGTGTGATTAACTTATAGCATTTCATATAATTTTAGAGTAAAATTGACATGTGTTTCTGGAGTGTATCCCCCAAACTCAAAATCCCAGATTCATATCTGTTATGCCACTCCCCAGACTCCCACAACCCCCCCCCTCTCTAATGCAGTCTCTTTTACTATGTTCAAAATGATTGCAAACCAGTAATATGATTATTGTACAGATACACCATCAGATTTAAGCATGGTGGCTTTGAATGGACTATTAGGCGAAGATACAAACATTTCCTGAAACTCGATGCTGAGCTCTTTCTGTTAAAATTCGACCCTCGAAGACAACTTGCTCCAGCATCGCGTGGACAACGCCATCTACCGAGACTGCATCTTCCTCACAAACCAGACCCTTTAGCAACAACTTCTCACATGGAGGATCGTGTGAAATCTCTAGAAAAATACTTACAGGTAAAGGTCGATTTTCAGAGCTATTTCAAAAAAAGGTTTGTGAAGATTTTGTGGCATTTTGCATACCAAACCTGAAATGCACTATGGGTCATGTCAATACAATGTGCAAAAAGTCATAACGATAAGGAATGTTCGCAAACTTTGTCTGCACGTCTTTCCAGCATGATGTCTTCTTGTGACATTATTTACCGCTATTTGGGCATTTGAGAATGTCATGGAAACATCTTGATTGACGTCCGCCAAAATTGACCTACTTCTTCCTCGCGAAGACAATACTTTAACTCACTACTTAACTAGCTAGACTTTTTTTGCAACTCGTTTTAACTGTGTATTTAACGGGGTTTTTGCAGATGGTTTTGGACAACAAGGAGTATCGTAACCACAAAGAAACGCTCAACTTTATGGAAGTCAGTCATCTATCCTTCATGCATGATCTTGGAAGCAAAGGAAGGTAACTGGGGAACTTCTTTACTTATATTGATTACAAATGCCTGTTTCTAAGAGAAAATATACCAAGAGAAGGAATCCTCGCGCCTTATCATGGGTACTTTGTGATGCTATTTGTAAAATATTTGATGCTATTTTTAGAATTATTCATTTGATCGCTTTTTTTTGCACGTGCGTACTGCACTCTACCCTGTTTGCTCATGTTTTCTTGTTTTTTTTTATTCATTTAAAAGGCGTGAGCAAATAGCCTAGAGGTCGCGCCCGTAGCGCGCTCTATCAGATTAACAAACGATGGCAAATGTGATTCTAAAATAGCATCAAACGGTGCATATGATTGTTACAAGCCATGAATGCCAGATCGAGATTCCTTCTCTTAGTTCATTTTCTCTTGCTAGATCAAAGAGAAAATGAACCACTGGTTCTCACTAGTGACAAGCAGAAGCAACTCCATATGTTATTCAAGCGACGCAAGCATAAGAACGAAATATCTTGTTTTTCTTGCGTTGGCTTGCGTTTGCGTCCCAAGTAAGAACCAGGCTTATTGGAGATGTTGCATGTATTCAGCGTTCCTGGTTTATACCATATGTTTTAAAAACCTAAGACTTTGCATGCAACTCATTGCGGATGTTAATTAAAGTAAAAGCCGATTTTACTTCACATGCGGCAACTACGCGCAGACTGACGATCCCTCTCGTCGTGTGTGCTCGTCTTATTACAGGGGCGGATCCAGTAATTTGTTCAGGGAGGGGTGCACTGCACAAAGTTAACCCAGGGAGGGGTGCACCCCTTAGAATCAAAGGCAAAAAACATTAGTTTGCATTGATTATCTTCAAAGTAGGGGCACAGAGTTGAACCAGGGAGGGGTGCGCAACCCCTGCATCCCTCCCTTAGATTCGCCACTATATTATAACTGGGTTTCAACTGATAAACTTCTTTGAATCTTATTATCTGCTCCAAATGGGGATCAAACACTGACCACCATGTGCCGTCAACCAGAAAGAATTCTATAAAAAAACTTGCGATTCCGGCAGCTGTTTTAAAAACGAGCAAGAAACTGCGGCGAGTTTTGAATTTGAAAYTAATTAGTGAAAACATTTTGTCGTTTGAAAAAGCATCTCACGATTAGTAAGTCTGACAAATTTGAACGTTATTCAGTAAAAAGAATCAGAATTACGAGCTTTTAAAAATGTCGAGGATTTACAGATAATATGTAATTGGAGAATTGTTATTTTGTCTCGTGTTTTAACGCTAAGAATCGCCATCGTCGTTGGAGGGGACAAAACAACAACAGCAAAAAGAAAACTGCGAAAAATTGTATTTTTTTTAAACTAAGAAAATCAATATTAAATAGCCATTAAATACTGTATATATTTAAGGATAAAACGCGCGCACATACATATCTCTGTACTGTCAGTTATATAATTGTGAGCACGAGAGAAGCAAGCTGTGGAACACGAGGCGTAGCCAGTGTTTCTCTTGCTTGCTGAGTGCTCTACAGCTCCCAGAGCCAGGAGAGTGTTTTTATCACAATGCAGAGACATAAGCAGCCGTTTTAAAATCTACAAAGATTTTCGCTGTTGTATCACAGCGTGGGACAATCACAACAGAGCTAGGCTCCAAACTAAGTGAAAGCCCAAAGATCGAATTAGAATTTAGAAGTTGATTTTTGTGGAGGGAGGAAAACCGGAGAACCCGGAAAACCCTCGAAGCACAGGAGAGAACCAACAAACAATTCTACTCATATACGACATCGAGATCGGCAGGACTCGAACTCGGGTTGCATTGGTGAGAGGCGGCGCATTAGCAGCGCACGCAACCGGTGCTTCCCTAATAATAATGTCTCCATAAAATATTTTACGATAAATTAACACCGATTTATAAAAGATTGAAAACTAGACTAGATATATCAGAGCTATTAATTCAGCTGTAGAGGAAAATTAGCCTAAATTCTCATTGTTCTTCGCCTCTCTGTCCCCATTATCCCATTATAAACGACCTCTGTCATTATTTCAGTTTTCCCTAAAATTTCCTACTAATTTACCACTTTTAAAAGTCGTCGTTTTAAAAGCATCATATGAAAAAGCTGTCAATTAGAGCTTTTTTTGTTCCTCTTAATTCCTATAATGGACATTGGAATATCTGCGTATTTAGCTTTTTGTTAGTATAAATCTTTGAGCTACTTCCGGACAAAATTTGGACCATTTAGTACAGAACCTGTGCATTATTATGGAAGCCACGGAAGTGAGGATCAAGGTCACGTTACCACCTAGCCTTATTTCAAAAAAATTCATCCTAGAATCTTAAGCTCTTAAAGTTATGTGGGTATGCAAATTTTGGTACGGATTGAGTAAGAAACGACAACATAAGAAAAATAAAATGGTTCTAGCCATAAATGGTCTTTAACCCAGGCCTTAACATACTCGAGATGTATATCCCAATAATATCTATCCTAATAGATAGCCTTCTCATGTCCAATCCCAAATATCTATTAAAAATTCTATCCCCCTAAAAAACTATATATCCTATTTTATAGTACACTCAACAAAAATTACTCGACTCTGATTGGTCGAGAGGAGTACAATTATAGCGTTAATTGTTCTCCGTAGGAGTATCGAATTAAGTCGCTATGGCAACACGGCCAAAACAATGTCAAAACAATTATTTTCTATCATTTTGTACTTAAAAAACATATAAATAAAATTTTAAAGCCGTCAGAACTAATCTTTTTTATGCATTTCAGTTGCGCGATGGACTGAAAATCGGCCTCCAAATAGACAAAGATGAACGGCGTCGCTTCGCATTTTTTACTGAAATTTTGTTGAGTGAACTATAAACAAAAAATCACACGATCTTCTCGTACAATTTGGAATTAATAGACACTCGTAATGTTTTGAACATTACTCGTGTCTATTAATTTCCAAATTGTATTCGAGATCGTGCGATTTCCTATACAAATACCCTGCCATATCCCGACCTATCTTTCCTTTATATAAATTATCCAATAAAAAATATTAACGGTTTTTTACAGTTTTTTTATTCAATTCGCACACTAATACATGAATTTTATGAATTACATTTTTTCTAAATTAATTGAAATAAATAAAAACTTAAAATAAACAGTATAGTACAAAGTTCATGTCATTTCTTCAACGACATAGTAGCTTTTTCAAGACACCGGTACGTATATATCTCAAGCGAAGAGAAAATATCAAAGGATTTACAAGAGATTGCAAATGGACAAATAGTACGAAAATATGCTGGGAAATGTATCCAAAGTCATTAGACCACTCTTTTCCCTTCACGACTGCTATGATTTTCACAATAAACAAGGGACAATAAAACAGTACAGATGCCAAGACTACGAACCCTAATGCGAATATTCGCTTGAATTCCTTGATCTTCGCTGCGCTCGCTCCTTGAATTGATGCTTGGACTGCGTTAATGGCTTTGATTTGTCGGAAAGTCGTTCTGCTTACTTTGGTAAGACAAGCAAAGATTATGATGACGCTACAACCGAAAATCGCAGGAGCAGGAATTTGCCTAAGGATATAGGAAGTGTCTGATGTCAGTCTACCAAAGATGAGAGAAGATGCCACCACGAGCCAGGCTACTGCTGTTACTGTCGCTACCTTCTTGGTGTTGACTTYGTTGTTATAATAGAGTGGATACTCAATGAACAAGTATCTTTCCACGCTGATGATCATGAGCGTTACGTTCGACCATCCAGCAATAACGAGTCCAATAACTGCGTAGGCAACTATTAGATTGCAAACCGTAGAGCATCCAAGCAATATGCAAGAATTCACAGTTACAAAAACAGGGCATTGAACAAGACCTACAAGCAAATCAGCCAGAGAAAGGATTACAATCAGCTGGTTGTAAATGACGGATCTTAGTCTTTCATGCTCGAGTAATGTCCAGGTCACTAACAAATTGATAATGATTATGGGAAGGGCGAAGATGCCACTGATTGCACTGACACTTATATCCATGTTAAGATGGTTGTGGCAGCAAAACTGCTGGTGTTTCGTGGATCAAACTCTAGTGTTACTGGACATTTTTGACCAGTCGCAGGATATGTGGTACCATTTACTGGCATTTTTAACTACCTCAATATTTTCTAGCGTTACGCTCCCACGGCCGACCCGCGTACCAACTGAATAAGTAGTAGCTTTGCCTTGGTTTTATCATAGTTATGGAGCTCCATTAACTATGGTTTTGTTGATGCTTTATATATTGACAAGTGACAAGGGTTCCTGTGTGGACCATAGTTAATGGAGCGGAATGATTTGGAAACTCCATAGAACAAAGATGTTATTTTGCGTTTGAGGTTGAATCGTACCATCACGTGGTACTGGCCGTGCACAATGGACCAAAACAAGGATGGCTAAAAATACTCATTTCCTTATTATTTTCATGTATTAACATTTTGCCAGTAAAAACTTGTATTCAATGACCAAAAACCATRCGGATAAATATTTCCGCGCAGATACAGTTGAGTTACTAGATGATAAGTAAGAAAGCATGGAAAAGGCGATTTCATTTTCAATAAACAATTAATCTTAATCACATATGATTAATTAATAAATGATAACTATCTTTAGACGTTTGTTTTGGGGAAAGAAACTCCTATTTTCTCGAATATACTATGAAAAAACGGAGCAACGTTTCCTTCTCTGTGCACGGTCAACGTCATATAACAAGGGATAAAGTCGAACAAAAGCATAGAACAATAGGTTTCCCAACCATTCCGCTCCATTAACTGTGTGTGTGGACTAATGGCGGTTTTTCAGGAGTTGCATTAGGCTTTTTTTTTTCTCCAGAAGAAAGGAAAAAACATTTGTGATTTTCATTTCCTGTTCTGTTGTGTTAAGCCTGGTTCTCATTAGCGATGCAAGCCCACGCAAGAAACGCAACCCCACGCAACTCCACACAAACAGACTCGACTACTCCATGTTCTCACTATGGAAAGAAGCGACACAAGCGCAAAAGAACTTAAGATTTTGTTTTTCTTGCTTTGGCTCGCGCTTGTGCTTATGCTTGCGTCGTCTAGTGAGAGACTGGCTTTAAGAAGCATACCATTTTTTTTCTTTCAATGGAAAACAAAAATTTTTAGCGATTTTTTTTATCTATGATTTTTAACTCAGGCGGGCTTCCTGTGCTTGACTGAAATTTGAAATTCCATTGCAAAAGTGGAGGCATTTTGTTTCATTTCTTTTATATCCTTTTTCTCTAAATTAAATAGGGAAGGAATGATTAAAAAAAGGTCTGGCGGTCATCGATTCCCGAGAGGCTGTTGTAGCTGCAGTGCCGCCCTGTCTTGTGGTATCTGGACTAAGCGGTAACTATGGAAACTGAATGTTCTTGGACTGAATTCATTTTATTACCGCTGTACTTCTTGTTTACAGACTCACTTAAGGTTAACTTCGTTTCAGCGTCAGAATATTCACAAATATCAACTGTAAAGCAAAGAAAGCACAACTTCAACAATACAAACACTCTAAAATGGACCCTTCTCAAAGTTATTTCGGATGTGAGGCTAATATATAAAGAAATCACACTTCTTCTCGGTGGAAGAATTAACATAGGAACAACGTAGCATTTTTGAATTTAAAAAATTATTTGCAAAAGGAGACGAGTTTTTTGCTGTTTACCCCTACAACGTGGATATCTGAAAAGATCTTTCATGTACATCAATTTTTATTTTTTGTTGAAGTGGGTTTTTCCTTCTTTAGGTGGCTTCTAGTGAAGGACAGCTTCGTTGCTTACATAAAGTAAGTATTGTCACAGCCTACATTTATGCCTCAGGTCTCTCTCTTGGACGACCTAGCCTATGATGTGCAAATAAATCACCCTTGTTTTACGGGAGAACCTACATAGCACTCAGTTGAAGTCAGTTAATTTAATGTATTCAGAAAATTTTATTCTATYGTATTCTGTCGTTGTCCTTATATATCTATTGTATTTGGTGTGATTCATTGTATTTCTTTGAATACATTACATCAACTGCCTGTTAGGTAGGCTCTTCCAAGCTTCAACATGAGCCTCTAGCCTGTCTCGAATGACTGAGTAATTACTCCCTGCATGTTTGATGTAAAATAGATTACTTTTTTTTTTGAAATTATTACAAATTACATTAAGATGATTTCTCGTAACTTCTAACCACAGCCCCAAGACGAAACAGGTGAATGGCGTGATCCTGATAGACAGGGACTTCACGTTCAAGTATGGTAGTAAGGAAACAGCTGTTAGACACGGACTGATAATCAGGAACGAATCAAGGTACGTAACTGGTAGAGTATAGAGCAGTTTTCGCATAACTATGAAAAGCCGTAAGCGTGCCGTACCGTGACCGTGATGTTTTCTAGAATTTTTATTAATTTAATTGGCTGATTTTTTTYCTCGCCAAATGTGATTGGTGCGTTTTCACTCACGTGACAAGGAAAACATATTGGTTCACAAAACAACAAAAACTTTCTGTGCAGTTTTTTTGCATAAAAAAAAGAGTTCAATTAATACTTCTTTTTACAGTTCATTTCAGTGACCATGAATAATAGTTCCAAGGCGAGGTTGGAGTTGCCGCGCAAAATAAAAAGTATAGTTATATGACTGTAAAAAGGAGTATTCCCCTAGGATCGATAGAAAATGTATTGATTTTGTACACCAACATGACCGCTGTGTCGTCACTTGAATATTGAGAATGACTGTAAGACTTCTCTGAAATCATCACAAAAGCTGCAACAATAGCTTTACTGTGTAAATGATTGTTTAGGGATGACCATGTTGCTGTTTATGACGTACGTTGTGCTTTCAATCACCAGGGAGCTCCTTCTCTCGTGTTGGACTGACAGGAAAGCGAGGTATGTGCTGTATTATCATGATCATGATCACTATTATCATCATCATCATCATTATCATGCTCATCAACATTATCAACACCATCATCCTAACCACCACCACCGCCACTATCATCATCAGCAGCAGCAGCACCATCATCACCATCAGCAGCACCACCATTATCAGCAGCAGCAGCAGTAGCAGCAGCATCACCATCTTCATCATCACCACAATCATCATAATTACTACCATCATCGTCATCAGTACCAGATAATATCTTGTATTCCCGCCTACTGCACGACCGGCCTTTTGGCGTACGAACTTCATATAATTAGATACTTTATATCAAAAACATGCTATAGTCTTCCAAAATCCTTTCTACACTGTATTTCTTTAAGAAATATTTATTGCTTTTTTACTTTATTCCTTTCCTAGTGAATGGATGAGGTCGATAATAAGCGTGATGGCGGGTACTGGCGCTGAATGGATGAGCGAACAGCCTCATCAGTCTTTTGCTCCTGTTCGACCAGATTGTTTCTCCAAATGGTGTGTATAGGAGTGTGACTTGTGCGTAGTTTTGCCAGTGGAATCATAGTTTTTAATTCTTTCTTTCAGGTTTGTAGACGGCTCGTCGTACTTTGAAGCCGTCGCCTCTGCGTTGGAGAGAGCAAAGGAAGAGATATTCATATCAGGCTGGTGGTGAGATTTCAAACTAAATTTACTATAGACCTCTCTATCTTGGGCGTAATAGCTTCCCATTTCAAACCGTGTGTCATTTCCTAGAGTATCATTTTTTTGTTTAATGAGTGCGCATGAGAAGACACATGAATATGGATATGACTCAAACAAAGAATCTTAATCTCAAGAGAATGACACGTGGTCTGAAATGGGTAAACATTACTCCCAAGGTAAATTGGTCTATGAGAATAAATATCGAAAAGAATTTGATTCATATTAAACATAATTTAGTAGTGCAGCTGGCTAAGAATTCCTCCTTTGTCCTTGCAGGGTGACACCAGAACTTCATCTTCGAAGACCAATAACACAGGGAATCAGATGGAGATTGGATCAGTTGTTAAAAAGAAAGGCGGTCAGTAGTTAACCCGATTTTCTCTTCAACACATTATTATTGCACCGTCTAATCACGCTTAACACTGATCGAGGGTGGATTTCTCAGAATTATTTCCTTCCAATGATTAACCCAATTTCTATTTTATTTTTCAGGAGAGCGGAGTAAAGGTTTACGTGCTAGTATACAAAGAAGTCGAGCTGGCGTTGACTATTAATAGTGCTTATACAAAAACAGTCTTGAGTAGCCTTCATCCCAATATCAAGGTACTGAGTACAAAAGATTTAATATTCCCACTGCGTGGGTGCCTGTGTTTTACGTCTGGGGATGGGGACGCATGGTTACTGAAGCCAGTGACAAGCATCCAGYATAGGCAACCCAAGGAGCTACAGTACAGTATGCAAGAGACTTTTTTTTGCTTGGGCTGCCTGTGTTTTACTTCTGGGGATATGAGAAGGCGTGGTTTTTGATGCCGGTCATGTTACTCGACCCAACACCGCTCGCCACATACTAGTACAGGCAACCCATAGAGCTAAAAAACGTGGTAGGCCAAGAAGCGTATAACGAAAACGCAACGTTGTACCTTACTTTTCGAGATCAAAATGCATTCTACCCTCCCCTCCCCTCTCACCATTTACTGTGAACTCTCTTGTATGTATATTTGTCTTATCCTAGGTGATGCGCCACCCAGATCATGCGCCAGGCTCTGGTATCATTTATTGGGCTCACCACGAAAAGATCGTGTCAGTTGATCAAAAAATTTCATTTCTTGGAGGTAACCTTTTGCTAAGTTCCATGTGGTGACTGTCTATCAACGGTGTTTCTTTATCTTGGGCGTAATGTTTTCCCATTTCAGACCATGTGTCATTCCCTAGAGCATAATTACGTTGTTTAACGGTTGCACGATAAGACAACACATGATTATGGATACAACTCAAACGAAGAATCTTTCTCTCAAGAGAATGGTCTATAAAAGGAAAACATTTCGCTCCTGTTTCACGATGATCTCTCCTCGAAGCGCGCAAAGAATTATTTGTCAAATCGAACAGTTCCTAATACCCAGTCTCCTATTTCATGATATCTCACGGTAATCAAAATGGCGGCTGGTGACTAATTAAGACAAGACCGATTTTGCTTACTTTTACTGTATTTATGCTTTGTTTTTATTGATTGTATTTGCTGACAGGGCAAGAGAAAGCTTTTCTGGTACATTTAACATAGAATTTTTCAATGTAAAGTTATATTCCAGGACGTATTWAAAAAAAAAAAAGTTAACACGAAATACGACTCCATTTTGAAATTTATAATGGCAATTTTGGCGATGCAACAAAAAATGCTTCTGATTGGTTAATCATAGCAACCGAAGGTGCGTGCGCGAGATCAACTGGTAAGATATCTATTGTTTTTTGTTTTTTTTTTTCAGGTTTAGACCTTTGTTTTGGCCGATGGGATGATCCTTCTCATCGTCTCACTGACTTTGGTTCTGCAGCGCCATCAGTTGATAAATACTGGCATCTAACAAGCACGGTACGTAGTCTACTATTTCTATGCATCATTAGTATATGTACATGTTCTATATATTTCTTGGTGAGTGCATTTTTCGTACTTGTACGTATTTCTAACGTTGTCTCGGGGTCCGGAAGGGTATTCGCGGGAGCCGGGGAAACGGATAAAATATAGGCCGGGATCCGGGAAACTTGAAAATAATTTTCGTGATTCGGGATATTGGTATCGGCCGTGACTCGGGAATTGCCGAATTCAATATCCGAAAAACATGAACATGTTGAATTGGGTCGTCGCCATAAATATTCGCGGGACGCGGGATTTCGACAAAAGACAGCGCGTGATTCGGGATGATCCGGACCTCCCCCCTCCACCCCTTTCTCCCCCTTTCCAGACCCTGTTGTGTTTTATTGCGATTGGTTTACCTGTGGTCAGCCTTATCTGACCAAAAGGGTTCATCTTGAGGCTCAGACGAGAGAAGACATATAAAAGAAAAGAGAGCGAGCGAGGGAGTAAATGAGTCAGAGTGAGATAAAAGAGAGTTGTGGGAAGGAGGTGATAGAGAAAACGATGGAAAAAACGATGGAAAAAAATTCAAATCACTCTTGCCTATATTCGTAATTATTTTGTTGTTGTTTGTAGGAACACGAAATAGGCAAGATAGGCAATATATTAATGAGAAATGTAGTTGATGGAGAAGACCCAAGACTGCACCTGATACAGACAGGTGACACAGAAGACGGCGCACGTGGGACGAGGCTCTGGATTGGAAAAGACTACTCTAACCCTATCAAGAGAGACTTTTTTGCTATTGATAGACCATATGAAGGTGTGGAAATCCTCAATTCCTTCCTTCTATTCATGCATCCTTCCTTCCTTACTTCCTCCCTTCCTTCCTTCCTTCCTTC